TAATAAACCCGTGATGATAAATGAATAGATTATGGTATATTGGCTCATATACCATAATGGCTAAGCCAATAAAAGTCTTGAATTGCATTGTCCAATGATCCAGTTTTTAATAATTACAATTATACTAATTATACTCATACTTACATTGCATTTCTCTGAGAGTGTCATTTCCAGAAAACTTTCAGCTTTCTTCAAAGCCTCCATTACCTTAGTAAGATCTACACAAACAGATGGGAGTGATTGTTAATCTAAATCATTTTTCAAATTTTAGCAAAATTAATGACTTCATTAAACTAACAAATTTACCAACCTTCTTCTATTTTAAATCCTTTTCCAATCTTGACATTTTCAGGGAAACCTACTTCCATAAGGCAATGTTCTATTAGAGCGGCACCATAGACTGTTGGGGAGGGAAAATAAACTATTACTAAAATCCATGTAGAACAGCTCCTTGGTTACCTGAAATGACAAACCTTTAACTAAAAAAAAAAAGAGTTTAATCATCTTCAATAACTTACAAGGTTTACAGTCTCATGTGTAAATTTGAGTGCCTGTAGCTAAATTTGAGTGCCAATGCTTTAATAACATCCATTAGCCCTAATTGGGAGAAACATTTTGGCCCTAGTTGTGAATCCCATTGAGTTTGATGCTGTTTCTTATCCCTGCCATGAGAGATTAAATCAGTTTTCCTCTCTCTATAAAGTCAATCCTTCAAATGTCAATTTGATTTAGAATCAGTGGAAAAACAGCAAAATCATAGATATGCTGCCGCCACATTCCACTTCACCCTTTCGCATCTATGAGTGACGAGCAAGGAATTCCTCCCTGTATCCGGCATTTTCAAAAAAACAGGGGTGATGAGAGGAAAGAAAAAATATCAACTACGGGATGATGTTGTTTCATCTAACCCCAAGTTTTCAGATCTACAATTAGCCAAAGAAATGTTTGGCAGACACCACACACAGAAGTGATTTTAAGATCTTGAGAGTGAAACTGTATTTTACTAATTTGTATTCCTTTAAATTAACACCTCACTAACAAAGCAACTCGCCATTTCTCCAAGAGTTACCTATGAAAGTCTCAACAGGGTTAGGTGCAATGGCAAACAATTATAGTTAAACTATCATTAACTGAAATGCATCTTACCAAAATGTGGATTTAAAACCTTCTTTACTTCTACTCCTTCCTTGCTTTTCACTAAAATTTCACATACGCTGAAAATATCAAATAAGTTGCAGTCGCTGTCAGTAATCTGATTAACCTTCTTTTAAAACATCAGTGAGTATAACAAAAGAGAAGAAAAAAACAGTGAAAAGTGCAAGGCTCCACACTAACTTTTCAACTTACTAGCCAAGTGGCTAGTGACCTCCTAGATGTTTTTAAATGTTACGACAATGTCAGTCTGTTTGCTAGCCAAACTGGCTAGTGGAAACTGAAAACCACTAACCAAAACTGAATTCCTACTAGTCTGTGGCTAGTGGGCTACTGTAAGTGTCCAGCCCTGAGTTGTCCTCCAAATAAGGAAAACTTGACACTAATCAAGTGGTATATTGCATACTTTACCTTTCTTGGCTCATCAATGGTTCCCTCTGTCGAGCAGAATTTACTGGGTATTTTTCACGTACAGCAAATTTGACATCATCGGCATCTGTTCTTGTTCTTAGAAGACTCAAAATTGTGTATTCGTAGTCAGTGAGAAAAATATTGCCCTGAAATAAACACAAATCAATCACATTGCAAAATTATTTTGTATTGTAAAGTTTAAATCACAGTCATCTTCATCTGAAAGAGAAAAAACAAAGAAACAAAAAGGAACAAGAGAAAAAAAAAACAAACATTATTTAATGTACATGTGGTTTACCCTGTCATAAAGTTCTACAATCAGGTGGTAAGCTGCCTCATCTGATCCAAACTGTAAATCCACAATGCGATCAATTCCCAACTGACTGATGTTCACAAGCCTTCGGGAACGAATATGTTTACGACACTGGAAAAACATAAGTCATAATTATCATTACAATTAATTAAAATAAAATTAAAATCCTTGAATACATTATTTTTATACATTTAAGGTCATTGTGGTCTCTGGGTACTATATGTACAAGATCAACCCCTTCCCAGTTAGCCCAATGGATAGTGCCCTGGTCTGTTGTGCAGGAGGTCGAGGGTTTGAGCCCAGGCCAGACCAACACTCAAGGTCTTAAAATAATTGAGAAGAATTTGCTACTTTTTTATAGCATCAAGAAATGGT